CCGGCTTCTCTGAGATTCCTCACGATTAGTCTTAGGTTCTCCATTTCTGACTGGAGTACAACCTAAGCTACATGTGCCAAGGGTCTGAGGTCAGGAAGGACCTGACCTATCCATCCCAACCAGTGATGGAGTTTGGATCACCTGGATGTGGCCTGGATATTCCCCTTAATGGTTACTAGACTTCCCCTTGCAACTATCAAGCCATCTGTGGAGAGAAATTCTTAGACCATGTAAATATCCTGCTCCCATAAACTTTCTCCTCCAGATTTCAGCTTCCTTTGATGTCTTTTGACATAAAAGATCTTCACCATGATGACTGAACTCCCTCCACATTTCCCATCAGTCAGTGCTCTGAACAGTCTAACCCTCTCTTCTCCTCCAATGGTGTACTTATTTTTAAATTTACCTGTTTATTCATAGTACAGATTTGTGGGTTCATATTTTATTCAATGACTTTTTTCTTTCTGTATTTTTATTGGTGCCTTATAATTGTACATAATGATGGGAGACTTATTGTTACATATCCATTCATGCGTACAAATAACAACATAATTTGGCCGAAATTACTCTCCAGTGCTTTCCTCCTCCCTCTCCTTCTCCCAGTCACAGGTCCTTTTCCTGTACAAAGCTCCCTTTGATTTTCCTTTTATTCAGTGATTTTAATTCCCTACTGTTCTTAATTTATTTTGATGGCCCCAGAATAGATGGTCCTTTGTAGCCCTAGAAAGCAGAACTCAGATACTACTAAAGGTTATAGACTTTGACTGGATGAAAGAAGAGCTATGATGGTCTAAATATCTAAGTATCCTCCCAACCACATATTGAAACCTGATTCCCAGGGTGAGGAATTTGGATGTGGAGCCTTTGGGAGGAAATGGTATTTGGAGGTGGAGCCTTTGGGAGGAAATGTGACCATGAGGACAAAGTCCTCATGAATGGATTAGAGTCTTTATAAAAGAGTCTCTGGAGATTCCTCATCCACTTCCACCATGCAAGGGCACAGTGAGAAGCCAGCCATATATAAACAAGAAATGCACATGCACCCTCAGATTCCAAATCAGCTGGCACCTCAATCTTGGACTTTCCAGCCTTCCAAACTATATAAATTTCTATTGTATACAAGCCACTCAGTCTATGGAATTTTGTTATAGCAGTCTGAAGGGACTAGAATAGGAGCTTTTGAAGGATTCCACCTGTCCATCATTACAAGGAGCTACCTGGAGGGGTGATAAGCAGCTCATTCATTACAGGAAGTAACTGAAGAGGCTGGTGACCAGTTTTCATAGAAGTGATTCATGTACCTGGTTGGGTACATGGTACATGAATTTCAAAGGTCCTTTCCAAACCTGACAGGTGAGAATACTGGAAAGGAGGTGTGATACAATTTAGAGGAATACTAAACAATAACAAGGGGAAACATCCAGGCCACCTCCGGAAATGATCCAACCCAGGCTTATAGTAAATACAATTCTTATTCCTAATCCTCTCAACTTTTCCAAAACATCACTTTATGCCAACATGCTAAATGCTGAACCCAGAAAGGAGACAACTCAGAGCCCGGCCTAGAGAGGACCCCTGGCCCAAGACCACAGGCAGTGGGATAATGGGGAGGTCCCTCCACCTATGCCTAGGGAGCCAGAAAAAGTATCAAAGAGAAAATGACTTTTCAGTAAGTAGGAGCTCAGCAGCCAAAGAATAAGCACAACCATCAGAATTCTGTACAATGCAAGAAGGAGTCAGTGAGGCTCCAGTTCTTAGAAACTTTTATGTCAATAGAAATATATGTATTTCTATACACAGGTATATATTAAATACATGCACACATACAAATTATCTTTTCCGATTTTCCTTTCATGGGTTTATGTGTAGGGGAAAGCAGTGACTTCAACATTAAAAAGCATAAATGCTCAATAGCTCAGCCTCCTGATCAGAAAATACACCCCACTCCACCCTGCCAGGGATCCGTATCACAAGATACTCTAGGATGAAATGCTCTGGCCTGGCTGACAGACAGTCTAGGAAAGATCTGCTGCCTTCTTGGCTCCTATCTTCTGGGCCTCTGCTTGCCACACACAGCAGAGGGTATACAGCATGACACATTCAGGGGAAGGGTCACGTGCTGACACCTGGCCTTACTTGGTCAGAGTGATCCTCTCCTGGAGGTCTGAGGTAAAGCAATGTGGTGGCCTGAAGTATAGCCGGAGCTGCTGGTAAAGCATAAGTATCCCTAATTTAAAGATCTGAAATATACTCCAAATAAGAATTTTTTTTAGCACCAACTTGACATCACAAGTGGAAAATTCCACACCATGAAACATTCATTTCATGGCCACAGTTATTTAAAAAGTTACCTTTGGGCTATGTGTATAAGGTATATATATTAAATATAGAGGAATTTTATGTTTAGACTCTAGCATTCCCAATATCTCATTTTATACATATGCAAATATTTCAAAATCCAAAAGATTCTGAAATTAAAGATACTCTGGTCCCAAGCATTTTAGTTAAGGGCTATCAACTCATACTAACCTGAGCCTCAGGAACCACAGATCAGTAGCTCAGATTCAAAGAAGCCACTGCCTAGAGAGTTTCAACTCATAGATTTCAGGAAAGAAGGCTCTGAAGCAATGATTAAAAAAATGTGGTATTTTACATCTTCATTGCACTATTTAGTAAATTCACAGCATACACACTACTGTTTGCCTATTCTGAGCCCATGGCAGACATGACTAATCTATCCTGATATACCAAACACTCATATTGAGACCTCAGCATCCTGTACATAACTTTCTAGATAGCTGCTATCCAGGAGCACTTCATAATTTCCAAACATATCTTATATTTGATGCCAAACTTGAATTTCATAAGATGGTCATAAGATCAGAGAAAACAAATGTGATTGCTCCCAATTTCAAAGATAGGGAAACAGGCAGCAGAGACAAAGTGCTCCTCCTGAGGTCTCACAGTTGGGAGGGTTCGAGTTGGGATGAGAGCAAGGCCTCTCAGTAAGATCCTTTCTCTCCTGCTGCCTGTGCTGAAACCTGGGGAGATTCCCAGTAGAAACAACTCAGTACAACACTGAGACTACCAAGCAGGCCACGTGCCTAGGGTCAGCCTGCTGAGACAAAGTCTAAATCCCAGCTCAGATGTAACTCACACCTTTCATGAAGAAAGACCCTGATAATAAGACAGTACCCTTTCTTCCAAGGTTCTGAACCCTGTGCATTCATCTCTTTATTCCTAAAAGAAGCACACAGTAGCTGCTCAATAAATGACTACTAAACTAAAGTGAAGGAAGACACAGCCCTGTGCTAGGGTCAGCGTCTGTGAATTGAGATGTGGTGTAAAGCTGCAAAGCAATGAACTGAAGCTTTAAAAGAAGCATACCGCCCCAATTAGGACTCCCACACAGAATCTTGATATATTGCACTACTCAGCCTTGCTGGGCCTCAATTCCTGCACCTGTGAGATGGGAACAACACCTCCTGCACAGGAATGTTGAGGGAGGATGAAATATTTGAAAAGAAACTTGGTACAAATGACAATGAAAAGCAGGAGGAAGGGGAAACATTCTAACAAGAGCAGTGTGGCAGGCAGACTTTAGGTGGCTTCCCATGATGCCCACACTCTGGTGTCCTTGCCCTGGAATAATCCCATCCCTCTGAGCACGGGCAGGACCTTGGACTTGTTGCTCCCACAATTATGCTACATTCTATATAGGTTCATTCTGCTAGCATGCTTTCTCCAGAAAGTTCTCCTTTATTGGCACTGAAGAAGCGAGTGGTCTGTGTAGCAAGGAGCTGAGCAGTTTGTAGGAGGTGAGGGTTGCTTCAGCTGGCAGGCAGTGAGCAACCAGGATCCACAGTCCCGGAACTGCAAGAAATGGATTCTACCTCCCCCAAGTGAGCCAAAATGAAGACCCTCCATGGTCAGAGACCCAGATGAGAATAGAGACCCAGATGAGAATACAGCCCCAGGACACCCTGACTGCAGTGTGCAGAGGCCCTCTGAGCCCTGCCTGGACTCTGGATGCACCTACACCAAGGGAGAGAGGGGAGAATAAAAAGCAGAGAAAGGGAAAGAGGAACAATGGCAGCTAGGCTCAGGACATCGACCTTGACGCAGCAGGGAAACTTCCTCGTCTCTGAGCAGCAGTGCCGGTCCCCACATTTCAGCCCAGGCAAGGTGTCTGTGTGTCCAGCTATGCTTTCCATGCACCCGAGCACAGCCACCACTGTGGAAGGCTCCTGCTCCCACTTGAAGGAAAAGCAGCTTTTCCACAACGACACATGCTAGTGGGGCCAGGGCTTCTGTCCTTTCCCTGTGACTTCTCCCTTAGCATCAGTCGGCTGCCAAGGCTGCAGGCGACAACAATCAGCCTAATGCTGTCTAATTGACCTCCCGCCTCCTCAGTCTGCTCTGAGCTCTCAGGCAGGACCACGGGGGCCTGAGATTCAAGGCAAAGCTGTCGCCAACATCCACCGCCTGCCTGCCCAGGAAGGACTCTCTCCTCCCAGCTCATGTCTGAGACATTAAAAATTCCGTTTCTCAAGTTCCCTTCTCATCGTGTTAAAACCAGAACTGACCAACCAACTCTCTGGAGTTTTAGCCTTTGATTTCTCACACCTAATTACAGCTGGCAGGATTAAACCAGCCCCCTGTCAGGTTTATTGTTTTGTTTTTAATATTTCCAGAGTCATCCACACAAAAAGTACCATATACGAGAACCAGAAATGTAGCAGGAACAGGAAGAGAGAGAGGGCACCCCGTCAACAACCTCTGGCCCTGGGCAATCTTCCTCTAAGAGGATCCAGGTGAGTTAGTTGTGTGTGCTCCTACAGGAACAGCAAGCTGGTCCCCACGCAACCGGGTCAATGGGTGGAATCAAATAAATCATAATTCGCGGGACTTCAGGTCCTACACTCCTCCGCCCAGGCAAGCCCTCCCGGCTGGCTCTGTGGTAATCATGGAAACCCAAGGATGAATGAACACGCTCTTACCCACGACCTGGATGACCTGGGCCAGGAGGACGCCATCGGTCACATCTTGCTGGAGATCCTTGATGAGACGTTTGTGGCCGGATTTGGCCAGATAATGATTGGCCCAGTCCGTGTAGATCTGCAAAAAAGCAAACAGGCAACTTGAGGAATCCAGTCAGAGCACATCGCAGGGTCTGAGGCAGCAGCTGGGCCACTGCTTGCTTGGGCGCAGCAGCCACCAGCCCGCTGGCAGCTCTCGGGGCCAGCCTGCACCATTAAAATTCAGTGCATTGTGCCGACCAAGCATTCAGCTCACCACGGCTGGGCTGTCGCCTATTGAGAGATCTGCCATCAAGGCTTGGGGAAAAGCTAAAGAAAGCTTCAAAACATGCAGAGGCCTGAATGGGACAGGGGACAAGGAACTAAACAGTCTGCTCCAGACGGCTTTGAGAGGCTGTGGCTCTAAATACAAGCGAAGTCGCCCCCACCCCTTCTCATCTTTTTCTCTTCATGGAGAAAACGTATGGGGAGGTTACCACCCAACGGGCATCTTTTAACAGGCCCTTTCAGGGTAACGAGGGCTATTGAGTCAGCCCAGTTCTCAGGAGCCTGGGTCCCTTGTAAAGAAGCCAAGTACGAAAACACAGACCCTTCAATTACTCTGTATGAGTGGAGTTATTTGTGGCCTCACCATAATCTCAAATTTAATCAGTTTAATTTAAAAGCCAGGCATCGTTTTCACTGTTGGGATTCTGTGGACAAAACCCCAGCAAATTCCAACATCTTTAAACACAAGATCAGTGTGCGCAGCACCCTGGAAGGCAAAAGCTGGGTCACCCGTGGAGTCGGAACAGCAGGCCCTGTAGGGGGTGCATCAGATCTGCTCTTCTTGGTCACAGAATCATCAGAGCAAAACAATATTTTCTTCGAGGCAGTCCAGCAAACACAAGAAAAGTCTCACCTGGAAACTTTCCCCCCAGCTAACAAAGCACAAAACAAAACAGCACCCCATGATTTTGAGTGCTAAGTTCCATGTACAGATTGGGGAGCTCATAAAGGGAGGTGGGAGTATGCCTGCAGACAGATACTCTTGCACAGCCACACCTGTCCCAGTGACAAGAACAAATGACCTCTCAGACAACTGTCCCCCCCCTTAAGTGGTCATAAGCATATGAATCCATTTGATGTCTTCTCCACAATGATGAGATATTGCTTCTCCCTCCACCAGCTGGCCTGCTATGAGTATCCATGTGACTCACAGAGTAGCACAGAGTAGCAGACGCTTCACCTTTGCCCTTTTCTTTCCCGGTCTCCTTTCTTGCAAGGGTCATCTAACACAATGGGGTGCTGCCCTGAAGGCTCCTGGAATGGGGTCAGGAGCCAGGCCCTTCTAGGGACGCAGCACCTCTGACTACTCTACCTGGGTTCCAGGTCATAGTAAGTGGCAGAGCCAGGTTCAGCCCCTGGCTAACTTATTCTAGGATTCCTTAGATGTTCTGCATTTCTGCAACTTGGAGTCTCCTCTGGGTAGAAGGGTTCACAGGAAAGGTGGTTTTGTTCATTCCCTACTTTGTGGTTCTTTGTCCTTAAAAGGTCACAGGTCCCTTCCTGGAATCAAACCAGGTCCAAGAAGTAATGTGCTCCTGCAAAGCAACAGCACCCCACTGGTCCGTATAACTTGGGAGATAATCATAGTTTATAAGTTTATTAAAATATAAACACAAAGCTGGGCAGAGTAGGTCACACCTGTAATCCCAGCAATTCAGGAGGCTGAGGCAAGAGGATCACAAGTTCAAGGCCAGCCTCTGCACTTTAGCAAGACCCTGTCTCAAAAACAAACAAACAAAAAACTGGGGATGTAGCTCAGTGGTAAAGCATCCCTGGGTTCAATCCCCAATACACCCCCCTACTAAACGTAGGCTCAACCTTTATTCAATTATGCTCTCACTGAAAGAATTACAATAAAAAAATCAAAACCCAAACCTTGTTATCTGAATGTCCTCGGTAAGTCCCCAACTTTTATGGACTTCAGTTTATTCACCTGTAAAACAGGTATCCTTGTGGCAGTGGAGACCCAGTGAGTGACCATATGGAAGCCCCTAGCCTGACCCGCTGGGACTCAGTAAATAGAGGCAGTGGAGGAGGGTGGCAGAGGAGGACCCTGGACTTGCTCTGAATCTTAGCTGCTGTGCTCCTGTCACCTTTGTGCCCTTTGGCTTACCTCGTCCTCATTTGCAAGATTTTGACGGCAGCGCCTACCATCAGTGGGCTGCTATGAAGATGAAATGAGATATATAGGCAAGGACTCAGAATTTGCCACATGCTGAAATACAGTCAATAAGTAAGCGAATATTCAAATTTTTACAACCAGCACCATAAAATGGGCTACAACAAAACAAACCACAGCCTCTACCCTGAACCTCCAGGACACATGCAATCTGGAATTTCTTCTCCTATTCACAGCAAAGTTTCTAGTGTTTGGAATACTCCCCATCTGGAACTATAAAATATGGCAGAGTGTAAAAGAAAAGCAGAGCCAAAGCCACAGGGCAAGCCTTTCTTGCGAGCCAGGAAGGGAGGCACTCTTGCTCCTCTCTCAAACTCCAGAGGAGTCTTACCACCCAATGGCAGGGACCAAGAGGACAAGCCAAAGGCTAAAGTCATGTGCACCAAGAGCATAGCCCAGTGAGAAGCGGAGCTCGGCAAGGACATGCTGAGCACCCCAGGCCAAGGCCCAGTGCTAATCCCTTCCTAGGTGATTAAGGGTCTTTGAGATAGACATGCTGCCTCTACAAGCAGCCCTCCATGTGAGCTTGCACAGTCCAGCCGGGACGGTGAAGCCAACTTCTTTCAACAAGTACACCCAGACTTATGCGCACACACGTGCTCGTGCACACACACACACACACAATGTGCAGCCATGCACAGGCCATGCAGGTGTCAGGTACAGAGAGAACATTTAAAGGCTAGAATAGATGGAAATGGCTCAGGCCAAGTGACTTTAGCCTTTTCCAAAACAAGAATTCCTGTCTCAACTGTAATCTAGCTAAACACCCCTGCCAAAATTCATCTTCTCCGAGCTCAGAGCTAATCTAATTGCCTGCTCAAACAATCCTCAATGGCTCCCCACCACCCCCTGAATTAAAGGCAAACTTGTTACACTGGCCTTCATCCACTCCTCACTGAATGCACCCAACCCTTGCAGGGGAGACAGTGGGTACGGAAGATAAGAACAGTCTTTGGAATATGACCAAGTTCAGTTGGTCCTTGGCCCTGGGCAAATTCATTTGTAATACTCTTTCTGTTCCTTACTCTCATCCTCCATAAATTGGGGATTACAACAAATCTATTACTAGGTAGGGGCTGTCAAACTGTGGGCTGGGCTAATGCCAGCTGACCACCTGTTTGTGTAAACAAAGTTCCACGTGACACATCCGCATCCACTTGTGGTGTCCGGTTGCTTGCATGCTACCAGAGCAAGGTGGAGCAGCTCTGAAAGAAAGACCTTTGGCCCACAAAACCTCATATACTTAGTATACAACTCTTCCCAGAAAAAGTTTGCCTGCCCATGTTCTAAGGACAAGATAAGATAACATGTCTATACATCCCAGATGCACAGCAGTAGTAATTGTGATTACCCTTAGAAAAATGGGTCAACCTCACCCTTCCCTGTCTCTGAACCGCAGTTACTCTCTCCACCAGAGTGTCCCGCCTGGGGCTGCCCTTGGAGTTCTACTCCAATGCCTGTCCCTCTATGAAGTCATCCTTAGTTCCCAGATCAAATCCTTGATTGCATATGATGTGGAGCTTATGGAGAACTCGGATTTTGGCACCAACTTCTTACTCCCACCACCAGAGGTGAGCATCAGACCTGCCTCGCCCACCTCTGCAGAGCCTGGCAGAACCTCCCAGGGAAGCTGGTGTGTGGCAGGAGGGTAGCAAGTGGCTACCAAGATGAGCTGAACAAGGAGCAAAAGGGTAAATCTTGGGAAATTGATTACATATGAGACTTAAATAATGTGAGCTCTCAGTGAATCCTTAATCCAGAAACTCTTTATTGATTAAAAAGAGGAGGGAGCAAGGAAAATAAACTACATAGCTCAAGCTCATTAATCAGGACTCATCTAACAAGAGTCATTGATTATGGAGTTTCCCCTGCCCTCCCCCACCCTAACTCTCGACTTTTTGAAGGGTTGAACCAGAAGAAAACACCTAGTTTTATTTGTAAACCAGTTTTCATGAGCCATGGACATGGGACTCAGGCAGAGATAAACTCAGCCCCAGCTTCTTTACTTCTCTTTTGGTAGCTCATGCAAGGAAAAGCATTCCTCCAAAGGGCCCCCTTAGTTTTTCCAGCACAAATGGAGCAATGCACGTTTGAAAGATTTTTAGTGAGGGCTAACACGGGCAGGGCCTCCTGTCTAAGTCTCTATTCAGAAGGAATTTCTGCAAAGTCTCTCATTCTCCCAAGTTATACGGACCAGTGGGGTGCTATTGCTTTGCAGGGGCACATTGCTTCTTGGACCTGGTTTGATCCCAGGATGGGACCTGTGACCTTTTAAGGACAAAGAGCCACAGAGTAGGAAAGAACAAAACCACCATTCCTACTCCCAACCTCAATTCACCAAACCACACCCAGGAGAAAGGCTCCAGAATCTAATGCCCAAGCAGGAGTGTCCTCCAATGCAGCTGACTTCAGGGTCCACCCCTGAAGCTCACTGACTCTCCTCTCTGCAGACCAGAAGAGACTGGTCCACCCAGAAGAGACTCCAAGTTGCAGAAATGCTCTGTGAGAGAGAGAGAGAGAAGCTGCCGTCAAAGGCTTGGAAAGCTAACAGGGGGAGGAAGGCAAAGGCAGCAGAATAGTGAATTCATCTGCATTCACTTTTTTCTCCCTGACAAGATGTCAAGCAAAGCCCCATTTGTTTGCTTATCACTCCACATCATTCTCTGTCAAATGGGCTGCAATCCAAAAGGGAAAACATGACAGATCAGTCATAGAAAAGAACCTGATCACCAGTTATAACAAAAATGGATGATAACTGCACTGTGTTAAAACAACGTTAGCAAACAATGTTGCTAAATGTATACTACAATTAGCCCTTGAATGAAGGAGGGTGGCACTCCAAATCCGGAACC